TGTCTAAGGTCTGAAACATAAGATTTAGAAGTCTTCTTCCCAGAAAATCATTTTATGTCATAATTTCTAAATGTTCTTGAAATCCATGCAAGTGTTTGTTACATCAGCAGCCATTCTGGCTTTTTCTGGCAAAGCGTTTAATTATATGCCTTTTAAGTCAATATTTTATTTTATTACATATTCAYTTATTAAGTGTGAATGTATGAGTTTGTCAAGTCATTAAATTATTTTTTTAATTTTAAAAACATGAAACACATTTCCATTTGTTTTTTGGTTTTGGTGGCTTGCATTTGGTTGGGTTTTTTTCATATTCCCCCATTTGTCTGATTTCAAAATATCGTATTGTTTTAATCTTTTTTTTTCCTGACCACTTAACAGCTTTTATGGGTTTTGGTTTTGTTTTAAACTTGTTTTTATATACCAAGCTTTTAACTGTGTATTCCCATATCTGCAAGTTTGACGTCTCCCATTAGGCATTTATTGGTTTGAAATTCAAAACAAAAAATGTAATATTACTAGTTGCATTATTTTATTGATTGACTTAATTATATCAAAAAAGGGGAATAATGCAGGATCAGAAACAAGGATATTAATATTTGGGATATAAAATCTGATAATGTTGCATGATTTTAATTTCAATGATCAGAGACATAGTTCTTTTTTAAATAAGATGAAAACCTTGTGGGACTAGAAAATGACAAATACTTTAAAAATATTTTAAAATATATTTCRAAATGTTTATGGTGCTACCAAGTGATCATTAGTTCCCCATTTAAAGCAGTGTACTTTTAGTAAAATTTTTATGTTTACATTTTTATTGTTCTTATATAAAAACATAACTACTTAACTACTAACATTGTTAYATGTTCTTAAGATGTATTATAGGATTTTTTCCACTAGAATTTTTACTGAAACCATTAAGTTTAAGGATTAAGGATTTAAAATAATTCATATTCACTCTTTCTCCAAAGAGAATCCTTTTCCTTTAGGAAATTACTTGTTCAGACGTGATTTAATTCTCAGTATGTCTCCAAGTTAGAAATAAAATGTATAATTTGTCGTGGAAATTTTACACTGGAGTTCTCTAGTTCAGAATCATATAATCTGTGACCTGGTGCTGTGCCATTTTTTTTTTCTGAAGATGTAGAAATATCCAACAGGAACCATCTTAAACTTTAGTCTGGGCTCTCAGCCTGGTTCTTGGTCAGAGTAAGGTATCCTTGGTTCCTTACAGAATTATAGTTTTAAGATCATTGAGTCCAACTATGTTATGCATGATGATCAAACCCTCTTATTTAAAGCTTTTCTAGTTRCCTAATTTTAAACCTTCTTTTCATTTATTTTCTATTCAAACTCTTGAAACAGACAGCTTGATGAAAGATGGAATCATAGAATCAGTTAGGTTGGAAAATACCTCTAAGGTCATTGAGTCCAACTAGCACTGGCACTGCCAAGTCCACCACTAAACTATTGGTGTTTTAGATTTTATATTATCTTCCTACAGACCAGTCTGAAAGCAAAAYCATTTTATGCTTTGGATGTGTTGTTAACAGCAGTAAAAATTTCCCTGGTGATGCAAGAATGTATCACAAAAAAGTAGAGGGTTATTCTTTGTCTGATTTCAGGGRTCCAAAATGTATGCAGGTGTTTTGGGAGGTGGCACCCCCATAAGTCAATGCACAGAACTGGGGCTTTGCAAGTGTGAGCTCAGAACATCTAGGTCAGAACCAGCTTTAGTCCCTTGTCTGTAGAAGATGCACGAATTTAATTAGTTTAAGATCTCTTGATACATTCTAACATCCCAAAACACTGTTAAAAACCTCCTCCTCCTTATAAAGACTATGACAATTTTGTCTTTTTTTCTCCCTCTCCTACACTCACCACTGCTAGTGAATATACCTACACTGAAGCCTGAAGCATGTCATGCCACAGTGCTCTTGTTTGCAGTKTAGACAGAAAGATGTTTCCTTTAATGATAGAGAAAAATACAGTTGCTCACTAATCAGGTAACAGCTATTTTGCTGAGTTCAGTGCAATGGTGTCCTTATTTCTAGGTGTCTGAAGTAGTCATGGGAAACCTCACAATTCTGTATTTTACAACAGAGGAGCGCACACCTCAAATATATTGATTTACCGTAAAAAACAGAATCCTTTTTAGTTCTTTTATTAGACAACTGGACTGGTACTATGGAATAGTATGCTCTAACAATATGGCTTCATAAATACAATACCATGAAAAAATCTTTTGAGAACAGTTTAATTAGTTTTGGCATGTATAATTCATTAATATAATTATGATATAGTAGTGATAGCTGGTGGATCCATTGAAGGACTGGGAAGTTTAGTCTCTGTGTTGCTTTATAGGAAACTGGAAGAATGACCTATGTAGTGTTGAAGAGAATGAAAGATATTTTCTTTTTAAAATTCTATAGTGCAGCATAACAGTTTAAGATGGCTATTGTGTGCTGGGCACACTAAACTGGTGTCAAAAGCCGTGTTCAGATGGGAAATCACACAAAATTTTCTGCATTTGGAGGGTGAGGCTGTAGCACTATTTCTAGCTCCACACCACAGACAAACTCAGATGCAAGTCATAATGATCAGTGAAGGAAATCATATGTACTCATCAAAAACGATGCCTAATTTCCAGACAGGCAAGAACATAGTTATTAAAATGCTAGTTTCTAAATCAAAGGCATTCTTATCATCTGTAGAATTGAAAGAATACTAGTCTCTCCCTGGTTTGCTGTTTCTAATCCAGTTGGCCATACCTTTTAACACAAGATGATGAGAGGAGCTTGCAACTGCAATATCCCTTCAAAGTGAAAAGGATTCAATTAAGCTGTTAAGCAAAAGTATGCAGTTTTTTTCAAACTTCTTTCACTCAGACTGTGCAATGGCTGGGTGGGTGCATGCCGAGGAATGGCGAAACCTGTAAATTTTAAATGTACAAATTGCTTTGATTTTTTCTTTCATCTTTATTGATGTCAAATTGAATGCTTCCTTCTGTGGAACAGCATATTGCATGCAAGTGTTATTATTTAAGAAAGCCTAAAAAAATACAGGTGGCCTCATACTGTAAAACCAGAACCCATTAAGTTGCTGTGAAATGTGCAAGAAAAAGAGATAAGACATCATCAAAAAGTATCTAACTTGTTTGATGAACRTTAAGGAGGAAATAGGGTATCCTATTTCACTTCTTGGCATCAATCTAGGAAATAATTTTTAGCATTAATTAAATCTTCTGTCATAGCTTTCATTTGAAAATAAAATTTCAAATACTCATTTCTTAGATCTCACAAATATTAACCCCATTTTCTAAGTGAATGTGCATTGCTTAGGAGAGTAGCAGAGGTAGACAGAGAGCCAGCAATGCCAACTTCTAGTTCTGTATTTAGCAGAAAGAACATGGTCCTCGATTTCAAATGAATCACTAGATGTTTAAGATGGGGCAGATGTTAACTCTGCAGCTCCGTGCAGTTCCTGAGTTAACTGGCAGTGTAACTGAGCTGATGGACTGGGCTGTTCAGGATGATGTGGGTGAGAAACAGGGTCCTTTAGGCCAGATGGAGAGCCAAGCTAAAAGAGCTAGATGGTTTCAATGGGTGAACTGGAGCAGGTAGAAATGTATCWAGTCTGTTTTGCTGTCCAGAGAGAAAATTTGAGTTAATTTACATTACTACCACAGGTTTTCAGACACACATAAGGTAGCACTTAATTCTGATCCAACCCTGACCCTCCTGTTTTAATTTTAGTGTGGAGGTGAGGTGATCAGTTGTTACATTGCTGAGAGGTTTTGAAAATTCTATTCTTCCMTTCCTAAATCCTGCTAAATTTATGATGTTTTTATGTGTATTGTAAGTTCTTCTAAGAAAGGACTTTTTTTTTACCAAATATTCAGAATATATGATGCATGAGACACTACTCTGGTACAAGCAACAACCAGTCTATCTTGTTTTTATTGCATTGGTTTAATCAATGCAATTCTTTTCACTTATTCCATTGATTCAGTGTTTATTCATCTTTAATATTCACTGTTCTGATCTATACCTTTTACATGTCATTTCAATGGTTATGAGGACACTCTTGCTTTAATTAATTTACTTGAATTAGAAATTGTRACTTTTCATGTTACTGTATTCTCTTGCTACAGATGATCCTAGTCTTTTCATCTATTTCTTTTTTGTGTCCTGTGYCCCAATTTCCTATTAGAAATATGTTAATCTGTTTCACTCTGCTTCTGACTGTGTTGTAAGTGACTAATAATTTAAGATCTATTATTAGAGCTCACCACACTGTTAGTCAATGTCACATTGTAATTTAAGGCAGTGTGAAACTATCTTAAGAAGCTGTGAAAAGTTATAAGTCATACCCATATTGATGTTTCAGCCATTTGTAAAGAACTATTTACYTGAATAACKGCTATTATTAGGAAATGGTTTTAAGAAAAGTCTACAGGTGACATTTAATATAAATCAYGGAATCACAGAATGGTTTGGGTTTGAAGGCACCTTAAAGATCATTTTGTTCAACCCCTMAGCCATGGGCARGGATGCTTCCACTAGACCAGGCTGCTCCAAGCCCMATCCAGCCTGGCCTTGAACACTGCCAAGGATGGAGCATCCACAACTTCTCTGAGCAGCCAGTTCCAGTGCCTCACCAATTTCTTTTTTATATCCAATCAAAAAAAGCAGCTCATATTAACAAAACACGGTCTGTCTCCATAATTTCCTGCAGTTTTGTGCAAATTTTATTGATTTTAAGTAATACCTTGTCATGTCATCAAATCCCTGAATGACATTTATGAGCTAGCAAGCACAATTTGGGTTTAAAACCATGGCCTTTATATTTCCAGAACATGGGGAGGGGCAATGCTTTTAAGTCCATTAATGATTTTTTCATTTTCTTTGGAYGTTTACTTTTACTTCAGCTTATCCATGAATGGAAAGCACTGTTAGAATTTTTTTTTCATGTTATCTGATGTCTCTGAAAATTTTCAGGYTGATTGCTCAGATCCATGATGAATTGTTGTTTGAAGTGGAAGATTCTCAAATCCAGGAATTTTCAGGTAAATGCAATCTCTCTTGCTCTTTCCCTCCCACCCCATTTTTGCTCTCTATATCCTGTGGAGAACAGAGAGAATAAAGAACTAATGTAGTAAGAAGAAGCACATTGATTCTCCCAATTAAGAAAATGTATAGTAAGCAGATTTTTCTGCAASTCCTTCACCACTGGCTCTTATGTAGATAAAACATGATACACTCATTTGGAATTCATTACCATGCTTATTTATATTTAGTTTTTTTAATTATGCTTCCATCATCCACTGTGTGAATCCTSTAAAAGTAAATAATATTTCCTCTAAGGTTTTAGAAGGAAATAAACCAGTTTGAAAAGTACGGTTTAAAAAGTAACTTCCTAAATACCTTAGATTGGGGCCTGTTACATAAAGTATGAAATTTTTAATGTTAGGTTMTAMCATCCTGCAATTTCTAAGTTAGTTWACTGCTTTTTTATATTAAGAAACMTTTATGATGGCRCTCTCAAKGTTAAGGTTAGTAAAAGTTCACGCCTGTGTTTCTATCCTCTCATCTGGTTTACTTTCAGACATTATTCCCTAAGCCAGAGTTTGTCTCAGCATCTGGTACAAATTTAGCAAGGCCAGCGAGGGCACATAGCAGACGGTTGGGTCTCTTCTCCATTAAGTAGTGCATTTATTCCTGTAGGCACCAAATGTTTATTCACRAAATTTGGTCTAGTTTGAAGCTCAACAATATGTTTGGCTAAACCAATTAGCATAATGTCACTAATATTTTAAATSAACCSATACAAGAARTATCTTCCATTATAGCCTAAGCATKTGATAAAAAATTAATTTCATCTTYCMGTGCTGCATTCRTTTGAACAGTGCAATTTGCTATATTAGTCCCATTTCATCACTGRTCCCTCTTGTGAGTAGTAGTTCAAAATGAGAACATTAAACCTCTATCTAATCTAAACAAACTACCTGGGAAATATTTCAGCTCAATATATTCAGGGCATTGTAATGAATTAAGTTAATATATTAAYGTCTGACCTCTAAATAYAGGAGTGAAAATCAGATTTAAATTAAAAAAAACATGATACAATTTATTGGAGATTGCAGTATCTATTCAGAAAAGATGTCTAAAAGTGACATAGTTTCAGAGTTATGAAGTGTAATACATTGAAAGAGATCTGTAGGACAGCATAGAAGGATTTTTATTATCTTATTTTACATAAATTGGCATTAATATAGAGCTAGTATTATACCCGAAAGACAAAAATGATTCATGGTTTCTTCTACATATAGAAAACCATGGTTTTTGCCCTCATTGGGTCAAATTCAGATCTCCATTACTAGTGTGAATTAGCAAATTTGGAAAAGTCAATACTTTTCAAGTATAACAGAAAAAACCTTTAGCTATCGTATGTATAATAGTAATTTATTATCCCTCTATAGAAACATGATGACTAGAGGCTTTTTTTTTAATGAAAATACCAAAAGAATGCAGTTCAAATACTCAAGATTGGAATATGCACTGCACAGCAATTAGTTTGCTGATCTCCAGGTCTAACTCCAGTTGTGCTTCGAAGTTATCACCCTGTAATTGGAGTCACTGAGATGGCCTGTAGAAAATGGACCTGGGCATTCTAGAGGTCCGTGATATCTTGGAAATTGTCATTACATTTAACATGTCAAGCTTGAGTGTTCAAGAAGGAAGTTTGTTTCATTCTGCTGATTGAAGATTGATTTTTCGGTTTGTCACTACTTTGGCCTAAGAGGTAAAGAAAAAAAGAAAATTTTGCATTACAGGAACATTCAGATATAATCGTATCAGACTAGAAGAGAGAAAACATATCCTTAACACAAAAGACCAGTCTGAGACATTGATTTCCTTCCTCTTTATTCATCATTGGGGGAGTCTTACTTGGAGTACTATGTCTGGTTCTGGCTGCCAGTACAAGACTGGAGCAACTGCAACTCAGGGGACTGGAGCATCTCTTGTATGAAGACTGGCTGAGAAACCTGGGATTGTTCATCCTGGAGAAGAAAAGGCTCAGGGGATCCTATTGCTGKATATATATGCCTGAAGGGAGTGGGCATAGAGGGAAAGGAGGTGGTGGTATCCAGTGACAGGATCAGAGGCAATGGGCACAAACTGAAACACAGAAGGTTCCTTCCCTCTGAAGATCCAGAAACAGTTTTACTCTGAGGGTGACTGAGCACTAGCATGAGTTGCCCTGAGAAGTTATGGAGTCTCCATCTYGGAGATGTAAAAAAGCCATCTGGACAAGGGCCTGGGCAACCAGCTTGAGGTGGCCCCTCTGAGCAGCAGGGCTGGACCAGGTAACCTCCAAAGGTTCCTTCCACCTCCCTGACTCTGTGTTTTGTGAATAGTTCTGCTACCGGTAGAAGAAAGAATCCAAGATGTCTTTTGCCAAAGTTGGTGCTTCTTCAGTGTCATWAATGAGGATTTTTTTTGATCTGAATAGGCACAGAAAGGGTGTATCTGCACTGGCATCTCACTTCCAGTCAGAAGTACATGCTGAAGCAGATCTCCCTTTTGTCCCAGTCCGTAGTGTGAACACTTTCAGTTCACATCACACAGCAGTCTGAGAACAGTTGACCTAGATTCCTTTCAGATGAAACTAAATAGGAGCTCTTTTCTCCTAATCTTTTCCAATTATTTCAGGAGCTGCTAACTGAGGTAGCAGTTTAGATATTTGAGTGCTAAACCAAAGAAGTGTCAGTAGGATGGGTGCTCCTAATTCACTTTAGTGCTTTGAAAGTYCAATCATGGTTTTCATCTCTTTACCTAAAGTTCTTTCACCCTTTTTTAAAATCCTTACTCTTCTTACTTTTATTTGCCAATATTCTTTAGCTGTCAGCTTTGTCTTTACATATCTAATGAGCTTTTGTCCATTCAGAAACTTCAAATTACAGAATCTGCTGACTTGCAGTTTCCAGCCTGCAGTTTAATGATCCAGAGAGAAATCTCAGTTGTACAGTCACAAAGCTCAGCAAAGGGAAAGACGTGGACTTAAAGCTAAAGAGCGGTGTTTGAGGGTTTTAATGGATTACACTTCAGTCCTGTGTTATTCTCCTGCATTTAATGTGATCCAAGAAGTACTGGCCTACTATTCAGCATGTTTGCATTCTGATTCCAGTCATGCTTCCGATCTACGTTTTCAGGAAAGCAACAACAAATCTATGTCTCTGTTTTCTTATTTGGAGAATGCATATGAAATTAAAATATTTTTGAGATTTATGAATGAAGAACATGAAGGTAAATAGTATTATTTCATTAGATCATAGTGCAGAATATAAGCCTTCTCAGCAGCATTTCCCTGATGGAATTGTCTCTTTTGAACTGTTTCACAACATTAAAATGTCTATTTGCTTCTCTATTGAATGGCTGAAAATTGTCACAAGGCATCATAATAATGGTGCATTCATTAGTCGTGCTTTGGACTTCATATGCTCCACTAAGAATTTTCAGTACTTTAGAATATACAGAAATCCATTTTACAGTGCATGTAATAATGCACAGATGATTTGGAATCTTTTGAATCTAATGAACAAGAGGCAAGCAGAAAAGAGTTCTTTTTTCCTAGATGTACTTCTGCACAAAGTGCTGCATGAGGTGGGTCATCACAAGGTCTTTTCTGTATTTTGGAAGAATCCTTTCTTCATAAAGAATCCATCATCCATGGTTTTGCAGTACACATATGGCTCACTCTGAATGGACAAGGCAGAACATAATTTATTTATAACAAGGTTTTGAGTGTCCAAGCTTTGACATACTTTGAAATACAATGAAACACATACTACTCTGAATAGTGCAATTTTTATCAGAGATATGACATGTTATTTCCCTGAATTCTCTGTTTAGGGCAAGAACATGACAGCAAAAGAGCTTTTTAAAATCCTAATTTCCTATTAGAGAGTGCTTGGGAAGTTCAAATCAAAACATTTGGCAGAAATTCTTTTGGCTTGGGCAGAAGACTCTCAGCTTTACCATCAATAATCTGCCTGGTTTCTAGCCAGCTTGCCTGTCTGGCTTCCTCACATCTTGAGCTCTCCAGCAGCCCAGGAAGCAGAAAGGCAGATGATATTATGGGAATGCCAAAACTTGGATTCTTGGATCTGAGAAGGCTCAGCATCTCTGAGTCCTGAAATCTGTGTAATCAGGTAGACAGTCTGTCCCCAAATCAGTCTGAAAGTCTGTGTAGAGACTCTGGAAGAGTATTTAGGAATGGCAGAACCCTTTTTTTTATTTTGTGGGGACTGTTTGTGGCACTGCTCCATGCTATGTTTGAAATGCCTCTTTGCCCTTGGATTATGCTGAATGCATTACAGCTAAAAGGGGGAATACACTTTGGGGTGAAAAAAAGCAGAATGAGGGTTTTTTTTACAGTACAGAGATACCTGTAGTTGCAACAAATCTGGCTTCTAATGTGTGTTCCATAAATAGCTGGTGAGTTTGAAAGGTGAACTTTGCCAGTGGTGATTACAGTGGATTCTTCAATGTCTTTCTCCCTGCTTAATTGCATCCATTAGTGATAATTAAATGAAAGATACTTGGTACTTGAAACAACATTTTTTTGTCGAAATATATGTATTCCAGTGCTTGGTGTTCAATATCATAGTGCATTAGAGTAATTTTTAAAAGTGTTTTTTTTAGAACTCATTTATAATCACACAATATTGATCAAATTAAAGAATTTCTGGATCTGGGTTTTTTTTTTTTTTTTTTTTTTTTTTTTTTTGGTACATGTACAATGTAGAGTTTGAAACAAATTTTTCTAATATTTTACCAGGTATAAAATATTTCCACTGAAGTACTTACCTTAAATTTAAGAACAACAAAAGGACCAGTGTAAGAAAAAAAAAATTAAGATAAACTAAGCCTATTTACTTTGCTATTTGGATCAATTGCTATGTAAAAAACAGTATCTTAGACTTTTTTTTTTTAACATCTGCCCTTACACATTTTTGGCTCACATACAAATTCCATGAAATTTCATTTTATTCTGCTACAATTTTATGCTTACTGGGTATTGAGGCAGCTGCACAAAAATGTGCACATGTTCAAAAGGAGACCAAAGTAACAGAAGAGCAAAAGAACGAACTGGTCATCACAAGTTAGTGACATTTTCTGTCCTCTGAGCTGCCTTTTTCTAACTTGAAAAACACTGGTGCATAAACTAAAGATGCCTCTARATAGCTTTCAATTTGCAAAAATCCCTGTTCCATGGATCATATATCTGGCCAGCTTTGACATGTTTCTGGAGTCATAATTTCATAGGTGAGTGCACTTGAAAAATGTCTTCAGTTCGATAGGGACAAATAAGCTTTTGTTCCACAGCAGGCATGCGTGTCTTTTCTTTGTTCCTATTCACAGCACTTTCAATAAGCATATTTATTCTGGTCAGTATCAAGAAAATCTAATATATGTTAAAACATTTGTTAAAAATTCAGTTCCTCTATAATCTTGTAACTGCTGCCACCATTTTTTTTAATGCATAGTATTTTAGCACGCATATTTAGCACTTACAAAGCATCTCAAGATGAGTRTAATCAACAACTCTCCTAATTGCTGGCTATGGATTTTGAGAGATAAGTTGCAAAGATTGGGAGAACAGCTTTTTACAGATGCTATTGCAGTATATGGCTGGCTGTAAAGGAACATTTTAAAATTAATAATTTATGTGCCCCAGATATACTAGATTCTTGACTGAACAGAAATAATCATTATCCCCAAAGTCTCCAGTCTAAATCTTAGAAAAGAAACAAAAAAATTGAGAGTCTTAGGGACAGATCTATTTAAACACTGGGGTTCTGTTTTTTAGTGACTACACTCTAAAATTTATATGAGATAAAGAAGATATAGTTGTATATGTCTGATTATTTATTCTGAGCCTTGAGAAAGAGGGAAATTTTCAAGGAGATTTGAGAAAGTAGTAGGAGAATCAAATACTGTGTACATGAAACTAAAGGGGACCTCTCTTGTGATTACATACCCCCATGCCATATGGTCTCTTTTATAAAATATCCTCTTCATATGAAAAATTACTCCCACTGAGGACTATTCCAGAATTTCATCTTTCCAAAATCTAGAACTTTAAATTTCTGGCCTAAATGTATTCAGCCACTACACCTATTTATTTTTGTGCAAAGACTGTAATGTAGTTTGAATGCTTCCTTCTTCACTGTTTACTGTCTTAGCAGACCACTGAACAGGAGTGGTAATCYAGCTGCTTTTTCTTGATATTTGCAAAGGAATGGTTTCAAAAGGCTGAAATGCAGGCACAACAACTTCAGATTGCTTGAAATGAATGGCTTTACTATGCCACCCACTAAACTCTGGGTAGAGAAGAAGTCAGTGTGACATGAGAAAGAGAACAGGGAGCTGAACTGACAGAAAAAAAGGAAAGAAGAAAATGAAGCAAAATGGAGAGGTTTTTAATGGTTGTCAAAGTGAATGAGGAACCATTGGGTTTGTTCACTGATGTGACCACTTTAATCTGTGCATTTTAAAATTAAGAGTATTTAAGAATGCAGCAGAATTCTGATTGTGCCAGATGCCTTGGAGCAAAAAGTGTGTGAACCAACAGAGAAAGCTGTTGCAGTCATTGCTGCCATCATGAATCCCCTTTCGGGGATAACAGTTAAATGGAACAGAACTAGTCAGATTCAGAAGTCTAGAGAACTAGGGGAAAACTGGCCTAACTCAGTGCATAGCAGGCAGCAGCCTTTGTCACATCACTCATCTTTTAACSCAGGAACTGATGTTGCTGACTCATGCTCCATCTTTTACTGTCTGTTGGAGCTCATTTTGTCAAGAAAACCTATTCTTCCCCTTGCCCAAATGCTCTATTGCTGTTTATTTACCTAACAACACAAAAAATATTAAGATGCAGAGCTGAGGRTGCCTTTCATAAGTGTCTGGTAGAACATACAGAGCTGAGTGATTCTGCATGAGYGGTGCAGAATTCAGGTATTATCCTCTCAAAAGTTTTGTACAGTTACAGYTTGGAAAAAATGTTTATCCAGGACTCACTGGCAACATAATGAAGCTTCTGAAGGCATCCCACCTGGCTGGGGTGCCCCAGCATCTGCTGCATTGCTGACCTCCTGGAGCTGACAGCTTGTTGAAATTCAGAGTGGGCTTCTCAAGACAGAGGCAGTCCAACACTCCTCTATTAATAGCAATGTTGGCTTGCACTGGATTACAAATGAGTAATTATTTAGGCCAGCACTTCYCCTTTCACAATCTGTGGGTTGCAGYGTTTGTTTCCGCATTCCAAAAATGTTGCTCTGTCCCACATTGGACCATGAACTATCTCAAATCTAACATGAACCAAGTCTACGGGTGTAGCTGTACATGGSTGTTCCAACAAGTATTTGGTTTCCTCAGCTCTGGCACTTCATCTGCTGTTGCTTTGAGTTCCTGCATAATTCGGACTTCATGGAAAAGCTTATGACAGCTCATTAGCACACAAGTCTGAGTGAGCCAGCACGGTCTGAACACTGTTCAGGCACAAGCTGGTTATCCTCATCATTATTATCAAGCCAGCCTCAGTGTCAGCGACGTGACACGAAACGTTACAGACTGCTCTTCATTGCTGGCATCATTAGAAAAGGTTTTGGCAGCAGCCAGAGCAACAACATCCACAGCTTCTTAGAGTTCTTGTCGCTCCTTTGCCTCTAACCTCAGCTGCCAAAGAGCTGTGATGTGCAGCGAGGGATAACTTCAAAGGAAGCTGCTCAGTAATCATGAGGGTTTCGCTCTAGCAGTTACCACCTCATATCACAGACCCTGCTCTTTCTCAGCTCTGTGAGGCACATGACACATACATTATTTAGTCATCCATCCTGTCAAAGCAGTGGARGTTCTAGGGCCACCTGGTATTCCTATTTCATTTTCACTAGCCAAAAATTACTTCTGTTTTAAAATCCRTTGATCCATTGAATCTCTCTTAAWTTTTTATTAGAACACTTGGTGTTGCAGCAGCAATCTTTGTCAAGCAAAACACTAATTAGCAGGAATTATGACAAATCTGATCCCAAATGATTGATTTGGAATAATTATAGATGGATTCACAGAGTAATACTGAGCATAGTGTTATGGCATGATGAGTTGTTAAGTTACATGAATTATACAGAAGTTTAATTGTTTAGAGTCTTGATAGCTCCACTATCCCACAGGGAAGATTTTTTTTTTTTATTATTTTTCATTTTGTTCTGATCTTTTTACTTTCAACAGTATAATATTTTTAAAAGTTCAGACTTCTTGTGGGCTTTTTCCCTAGTTTCTTTATTTTGAGTTTTATGGCTGCACAAGAAAATTAAGTGTATAAAATGCTATCAAACTCATCAGTCATGAGTACTGAACTTGAAAACTGAGCACTCACACATGGTCTATATACCTTTATATGAACTAAAGTAGTGCTGTGCTTCTTTATATATGGGATATATAAATTAAATAATTCTGCAAATGTTACCCTAAAATTCAATTTAAATTAAGAAATTAAGATGTTCACAGGAGATAAATTATAACTTTAAAATAATCTGGAAAAGTTGTAAATGGTAATTTTTAATGCGGGTATTATGTAACAGAATATAAATCRTGAACATATATATAGATATRTATATGTAACAATTCTAACATGGAAAAWAAAGCTGTAGGTTTTTTACTTCACCTTACAGCACTGGTAAAAAGCACAATGGAGTCCCTGCAGCAAACCACAGCCTTGGAAGTRCCACTGAAGGTAGGGACAATTCTGAATTTCCATTACTTTCTCAGGCATACTTAGATTTGTACGCTATCATCATCATAGTAGGAATCTAGCAACAACTATTTTCCTTTCACTTCAATTGTTTAATTTTTATATYTGTGGGTAATTGCTTTTTCATATTACTACAAAAATTCCAAAGGAAAGTAACTGAAAGAAAGTCTACTTCCCCTTTTGGAAAGTGGGATTGTCATAACAATGCAGAATGATAATTTTAAAATCTATTTAATTTATTGCCATGAAACTTCTATTGGGTGTGGTAGAGTGAGAAATATGTCCCTTTAATAAGCTTTCTAGATGTGCCAGGCATCCATTACTGCTGAAAAAATATTGCAAAAGAATCTTTCTTCAGTAATTTTCACTTAGAAAATGAGTCTATTTAATCTTTCTTTGTGGATGCCTAACACACAAAGCAGACAAAATTACTGGTCATTGCTAAAAGTAGAGAACATCATCTGCCAGACCAACATCTGTAAAAAGTGAGTAGATAACTACAGAGCTATCTATGTATTGTACCCAACTGTAATTACGTTATAAAATAATTGCGTTTTTCTCTCTTCAAAGCTGGTACCCATCACTGTAGCTTACTGCTCAGCTTTTGTTGCTTGGTGAAAGACTGTACCTCATGGGAATCCCCAAACTTAAGTGAGCAACAGCCCAAGGGTTTCCAGTTTCCTGACAAATGGAATACTTGGTGTTGCCAGGTCACTCACTCAGCAGTAATACTCAACAAAATTCAGGGACAGAAGAAGGTTTATTCTAATTAYTTCAGAAATGGTTGCAACATACAGACTTGCACTAATGGAAACAATTGTAAAAGAAAACTACTCTGTAATTTCTGTCTTGTATTTCTTCCTCCAGATCTTCTGTGTCTAATTCAKCATTCCAGACACTTTGTGAGGCTTTCTCTGGAGGTCTTACAGTTACAAGACCCTTCCTGAGTCCTTAGGGAGCTCATCCTTCCCACAGAAATTGAGAAAGGATAATGAGGGATATCCAAGACCCAAATTACTCTTTCTGCTTCCCATAGTGGATTTCCCTCTCATYGTTCACTTAACCCTTGCAAGATTTTACATTCTGGTTTACCAAATAAGCTCCAGTGGGACCTTTTGGCTGTACTGGGATTATAAATTTCTTGCACTGATATTCCCAAACTTAGCAAACTGCAATTYTGTGGGCTGCTTACATTATATGCCCATGCTTGTCTTTCTTTGTTACAAATTCCTTGGGGAAAAAAAAAAAAAAAGAAGCAAGAACATTCTTCAGGGTATGTTACAYTTAAATATTTTTAATTGCTGTATTTGATACCTGGCATTCATGCTGCTGTAAGGTTCATAAAAATAATCAAACACGGTATTATTGATGGCATACAAAGTGAAAAGCAACACTATAGTCCTTCCTGGATAGATTTAGGGGACTTGGTCATGTCTTTTTCAGAGGTAACAACATTCATCCTTTRTCTGAGGAAGTCATTGTTATGAAATAAATATGAACACTGTAATAGGTTTCTAAGAAAGACAAATATTTACATGGTTACTGAGAGCATTTATGGTTACATGGGTGGAATATCATTTTAGTGTTACATTTTTCAGACTAACCATTAAGCAGCAGGTTTCAATGTCCTGTAGACAAATGGGACATACCATYTTATTCACCTCTGTCTAAGGTGCTTTGCTGTCACACCCTGACAGATTCATCTCGATGCATGAAACAAATGGATTCAATATGTATTTCCCGTGAGAACAGTAATTCTGTTMAATACCAACTATGCTTTAATAGGTGAAAAGAAATGCATTCTTGGACAATAAGTATTTCTCTGGGGCTTTCAAAGATTAGGACTTTTTAGTAGGCAGTAGAAGTATTTGGAGATACACATTTCATTACCCTTGTTTGGTCTCCTTTTCCTAAGCAAATTACTGTCGGAGTTCTGACATGCTTTTGCTCATACAGCACGTYAGACTGCATCCATCATGAAGATATTTCATCTTCCTCTGAAGCATCACAGAGATCAATGGCAGAGGCCAGATAGAAAACATAAAGTTTGATCTCAGAGAAGAAACTGAGAGTGATCTTTTAAAAAAAAGTCTGTATTTTTGTTCATGTTGTTTACTCTTCTATACAGTAAGAATATGTCTTTTAGGATTAGAGGTGTTGAAGATGAAAAGATTCYTGTGAAATGCTCCTGCTCTCCTTCAGCAGACTTTTTTCAGCTAAATATGTATTATGTGCTCTGTTAATATGAATATTATTTTTTAATATGGAGACAAAATGTCACTAAAGTAGAGCACACATATAGTCTTAGTGGGGAGAGATCTGATTTCTTTTTCTTCTTTGAGGTAAAGGATGCTTTATCTTTGAAGTAGTTTTTTTTCCAAAATATAGTCCATGCTAATGAGGCAGCTTTCATGTCAAAAAAATCTACTGTGTACAACAGCACMAAGAACTGCAAAACAAACTGAAATTAAACCAAAGCAACTATAAAAATAACCCAGAATTTGAAAATTGGGGGATAAAAAAACCAGTATCTTTATGCATTACTGACCGAGTTCCTGATGATAAACATCAAAATCATCATTTGTAGCTCTTTTGATAAAGCATGATAARATGAATTTTGCCTTAGTGTGTTCCTTGCAATTCAGTAACACGTATTTGCAATTTGAAAACTAAAGGTTGATTTAAATTGTTAAAGTATTTTTATCAAAATTGTAGCAACAATTGAGTATTAATAGAAATGAAGAACGTTTCATATTGGTTAGGCACATAATCCAGAGCAGTATCAACATCCAAAGGGAAAAGCAAAAATAGTAATCTTGCTATGTGTGATGTGTTTATTTGTTTAATTTTTTTTTTTTTCTGACAGGTTCCCTTGAAAGTGATTCTCACCRCTGGGAAATCATGGGGGTGTATGACAGAATTGCAGGAGATGTAAAGCAGTCATCGGGGATGTTATTCAGTACCCAAACACCTCATTGGCCTGTGCTGATTCCTCGCTGAATCACTAGGCAACAGCGCTGCTGGATCTTTCATAAGCACCTAATACTCTGCATGTGAATTTTTTTACTTCATTTTGTCTGTAGCCCTAGGCAACAGCAGTGAGATAAAACTGGTTTTTACCAGTTCATTGTGTTTCCTTTAGCCAAGGTAACCAGCGGGGAGCTGCTTTTGTTCACAGCTAAATTACTACATGTAAGAAATGAAACAAGACAGTATTAACCCTTTGGGAGCATCACAAATATATTTGAGTTACATGGATGTTTAGACTTTAATGTTAAGTATTTTGTGAAGTGCTTGTGTAAAAATACTTATAAGCTGACAGTCTTAACTGTATCAGATCCTTAACTGATGTGTTCAGCTTATTTTGTATTTCGTGAGTAGAATGTAACTGCTTAACATCACTTATAAAATGTCCTGTTCCCCAGACTTAGAATAAGAGTTAATGACCTTAATTTTTATCTAGAATTTTAGAGCAAAACAAGTAAACAAAACTAAAAGCCTAAGTGCATTAGAAATAAGGACATTGTTGTCAATTCAATTAATTTTAAACTGAATGTGCACAGTAGCCTTAGGATACCTTAGGGGAAGTATTACAGTTTTTCTAATCTATTATTTTTTTTTATTGATATAATGCTAAATATTGTTTAGATAAATTTTAGGATTCAGCCTTATGCTTTTTAGGATTCCAGCTTTTACTTCAGTGTGTGTATATTTTATTAATAATTTGTTTTTCTGTAGAGTTTATTCTTTAAATGAGATTTATTTCATAACATTACTGTTTTACAAATTCTGCCTCTGTGCTTGTGGAATATGAAATTGTCSTTGAAGTCTACTGTTTATTCAGAAGTTGAAGTCAAGCACAAAACTTTTAAGAGTTGCTCAGTATGTTTCAGCATTAGACRTCAAATGGTCACAGTAATACAATTTAAATTTTAGAACTGTATTGTTGGAAAGACTTTGCAGTGTTTTTAATTTGTGTAATTAAATAATTTTACTTTGCACTTAAACCCATTAAACTATCAAACATTGTTTCCTTATGTTGCTTATTAATCATACATAACCYRTCAGCTGAAGTGACTCAGTAGTTTYCAAAAACTGATTCTTATAAAATTAGCATTGACCATGTAAGGAGAGTCAGAACCTTCTGCATATTGATTGGGGTCAGCTCTTTGGTSGGGGAGTCCAGCCTGCATGGCTGTGACACCGTGCCAGGTCCTGTGAGCAGGGCCTGATCCCACCTCTCCTGCAGAGAAGTGGTTGCACAAGTTTTCTGCATTTTGCTATTTTCAATCCCGCTGTGTTTGCAGTGGCATTGAATAAGAAGTGTGAAATGTTCTACTGTCTCATCTCTTTCACTCCTCTTGAAGAYCTACTGGTTTTGGGAGGCCTCTATTAGTTAAGCCCTGATTTTCTAAGGCTACATTTCTAACCTTCCTACTGTATGGAGGAAATCATCAGGTTTTGTACGTTCCCAGATGATTTCMACCTTGTGTATTTTTCTTAGGATTCATACTTTGCAGTTAGATAGATRGTGTATTTTTTCAAGCCCCAAAGAGCACTAGGAATACCCTTCAGCCTAACAAAAAACAAGAACAGGCTTAAGAACAAAAAGAACCTCAGTCCAGTTGTGTGAATTAACATCTGTTCAAATATGAAGCTCCAGAAATGCAGAGGTCACCATAGAGAATGAAWTTTCAAACACAACCCTTCACGAAGACTGTCAGTCACAGTTCCCCAGACGTGCAGTTTGTGTAGGTTGTCATGCAAGCAGGCAAAGTTAATATTTTTTTCTCCCTTTGCCACAGTTTCTTCATGGTTTTTAATTCCCAGAGAGTCAACTAACAGGAAGAAGAGGGCCAYGCAATAAAACACCACATTACCACATGTCCAAGGGCTCATTCTGTGTACAATGATGTGAGAGCAAAAGACAAAGTGGCCTARTTTTGGAGGATTGTTCCTGACCAAGTCTCGAGACTTTGTGAAGTTTGCATCCCCCCAACTTGCAGGATACATGCCATGAACTTGGGATATCATTCCTGTGYTCCAGAGTCTCTAGTAAAGAAACTGAGAAGCTTTCTCCACTTGAGAAWGAGTAGTGTTTACAATTCATTTCCCAACAAGATCCTCTGGACAAGGCATCAGTTTTACCACGCTTGTGTGCTGATCTATGTATAATCATAAAATCTGGGCAGTGCAGTTTTTCCAAACTTTAGTCAGGGTCTGAATCTAAAGAGCCATTATAGGGAAGCAAGGCCAGTCCTGACCACAGATTTCCTCCCAAATAAATACAGGTGAAAATATTCAGCRTTTGATGACTGCCTGGAATTCCTTTGGGTGACGCAATAACTTCACACCACAGAACTGAAGACCCTTATTGTAATAAATAACCACCTTGTCAGGTTATGTTAGGTCTGTGTGAAAGAGACTTTAAAACATGGTTAGGYTTGAGCAGGAACAATCATAAGAGCACTTTTCAATCCTTAAAGCTCTTGATTTCATCTCTAAAATGATTCCCTTTTCCTCACAATATGTGAAGAGATACTGGAAAAGCAAGAAATAAACASTTCTGTTTGAATTGTAGAGCCCCACAAAAGTAATGATCAATGAGCATGGGAAATCACAATAGATGGGGAGAGGGAAATTGCTGGTTTCTTAGTTTCAGTTATCCTTTGTGAGCAGGAGTTTCATTAATTGATTCTCTGAACACAGTAATAGCCCCGTTCGGACTGATTTGTGTCTGGGTTTAATTTCAGGCATGCCTTTGGTGGTCTGAATCTTCCCTTAGATCATCTGTAAATCTCTTTGTTTGCCATGTGCGGTAGTGGAGAAAGCACTATTTGAAAATACTTAAACTCAGTGTGTGTGTGAAATGGAACAGCTCAACTGTTTGCAGTTGTTTGCATGGGATGGAGTGACCAATACCTGCTTGCAAACGTTGTAATGCCTACATACCACTGTGGGACAGCAGGACTCTGATCCCCAGTGCTGGTCCTACTTGATAATAACCCAAACACTGGGCTCAGATTTTATGTGAGCAAGATTTTAAATAGGGAGGGGGAAGTCTCAATTTTTGAAAAATAAAGAGTTGATTAAGAGATTGAATCTGCTAGAGCACCCAGGACATCATTTGTTCATGTAAATGATAAAGAAAAAACCCTTTAAAATAAACTAATTTCATTTTTGGGTGTCAAATCTGATTTTAAAAGGAGGCCAAAGAATGGGTTCGAGGTTGTATTACAGTTACTTGATATATTTCCTCAGTGGCCTAAAACATCTTCTTGTTTCACCATTAGAAGACCAGACTGGGCAAATCCCTGAGTAACCTGGTTTTGACCTCATAGCTCACCCTACTTTGAGCAGGAGGTTGGACTGGAGACCTCCTGAGGTCCCATCCAAACTGCAATTTGGTCCTATGTCACTCCTCAGTTAGACAACAGCAATCACCTGGGTGGAAGACAAACCAGAAATTCCCTTCAAACATTCTGCTGCRCCACATTCAAGTATATAATGCCATACCAGAAGAAGCCCAGAAATGTTTTGGGATTGCATTCCTCCTTCCCACCTGTGTTGCCTYATTCTGTGCCAGCATTTACTATATTCCCTGGCTCACAGGCTCACTTTTGGCTGGCATACTTCCTTTTGGTATTAGCACGCTGTCAGAAACATTCAGGGAGTGGAAAGGAATATTTTTTTTCTGCCATTCGGCAGTGGTTTTAGTAGAGAGAGCATTTCTGGGTTTAACATAAGTTTCAATCGTGTCCTGTCTTTGCCTTCCTGGGAAACATYCCCAGCCTGATCTGCTCATCTCTGCTGGGAGCAACAGCCACCATCAGCTGGTTCTCTTGAGACATGTTTGAAGAGCACTTCTACAACCTGTTTCTGGAAGTCCCTTTTGTGTTTTCAAGCRTGTTGTTACTGTGTGCTGTAAGTCCAGGCAATTTGTTACCTTCTCTGCTTGTGTTTTGAATTGTGGAGGTCCAGCTTCCAGCTAGCATTTGTACATTTTTTGTGCAATTTTCCATTTCACCTTCTCCATTCAAGGCTAATTAGTTGGACACTTTTTAGCTTCTTTCTCCATCAACTTTTACTTCTTGCACTGATAATTTAATCCACTGCCAACCTTTCCCCTACACTTCATAGATGCTGTTATTATTTCTAGTGAAAATCTCACTATTAATTGTCCACAAATTTAAAAAAAAAGAGTTGCTTATCCTTTTACCTGTAACTTTGTGCCCTCAGTTCACTTCCCTCCGCCATTGAGCACGAAATTTATGCATTTATGGCATTTTGGATACTTCTCTCTGGTTAAGTATATTTTTTRCTGTAGTTGTTCATTTCACGATCAATTATTCTATGCTATCAAAAATTGACTGTAGCAATTCTCTGGTTNTTTTTTGGCAGCTTCATCTGCTGTGCACACTGAATTTGTCATATCTAATTATTCAAAAGTGTCATGCATCAGATTACAATCCCATTTTCCAATTTGAGTGTTAAGCAGAGAACTGTAGTTACAGGCTCCTGAGAATCAAYCTCCATCCTCCTCACAAGTGGCTGCTGCCTGCTACAGTGCCTTTCTCTGCAGAATTGGCTGGGACAAAATTAAATATCTCCCTGGGTTACTTGGCCTCTTTGCACTGATCCTTTAGTCCACATCCAGCTGTGTCCAGAAATTAGTTAATTGCTGATTTATCCTAAATGTCTTATTGGTATCTGGTTAGGAGAAGAAGACAAGTGTCCTCAGGACTTCTGCCAGAACTTTTTTTCCCCCTCTCTTTTTAATTCTAAGCAATGCCCCAAAGCCTGTTCAGGCTGATGATTGACTCCAAACTGCATGTGAAAGACCCCTATAAGAACTTCATTGCTTCACATTGAATAAATTCTGCAGCAGTTTGAAAGCTGAGCCACCCTACTCGCCTGCCAGCAATCCCCATCTCTGTTTATCTTCCCATCCTTTCACTTGAACCGTGATGTTAAATTAAATAAGCTTCCCAGGGAGGTTTTCCTTTAAATATAATGAGCTTTTGTACCATATGAGCTGGGAG